GTCTTGAAATAATTAGAAGGGGGTGGATTTCCATGTCTCGTCCAGTCATGTCCTGTTATGGGCCTAGGCATAGGCTTGGGAACGAAATGACTTACACCACTCATAGGCTTAGAGTCGTTACTAGAATTAGGCATGTACCTTTGTTGAGACGTTCGAAATACGTTACTTTGGGGTCTATAGTGTAGTGGGGGTGCGCTAAACATTTGTTGCGTTCGTGAAGGGCCACGATCTGGAGGTATCTGGGGTCTCCAACCTTGTGTTGGACTTTGTGGCTGATAAGTAGGCCTTGAGGGACTTGGCATATTGTCAAATTGAGGAGAGAAAGTAAATGGTCGTGAGGGTGGTATACTGAAAGGCTTATTACTAGCTGGGTCATTACGTTGCTGTAAATACATTGTGTTAATTTCTTCTTGAACAAACTCTAATGCTTTTTCGATTGTATCCGGTCTCATGCACCGAATACGTGAACCTAAAGGCTCTTTAAGGCCACGAACAAATGCTTGTAAGGTTAATTTTTTATATAAAATACGTTTTGATTCTATGGTAGTGGGTATATTTTCGTGTAAGGTTACATAGGTCATTATGGTACTAAAAAGGCTTTGGCATTTATCGTAAAATTCCTGGGGTGTTAACTGTTTCTGTGTTAAAAGAGCTAGATCGTTGTATAAAGCGGTCTCATCTCGCTGGTCCGAGAAATTATTAATTAAGGCATTTCGTATACCCTGCCAGTTCTCAGGGATACCATTTGAATTTATAGTGCGTGCCGCATTTCCGGTAACTTTATTAAGGATTCCGTTAATTAATGCTAAATTGCTAAGCTCGAATCCCGGCTCCGCTCTAATAAATTGTGCAACTAACTGATCACATAAGTGTACAAAGCGCGTGAGTATGTTTGGGTTCCCGTCGAATTCGGGTAACAGGCGTAAGGCCTTATATACTTGATCTACCAAGTCTACGCTCATTTTATTAGCTAATAAACTATTAAACCCTATACTTGAGTTATCTTCTAAAATATCTAAGTTCCTACGCGCATCGATTTGCGTTATTCTATTATATGACCCAGAGGTCCGTGACTTTCTTGGGTGAAAAATTTTGAAAAACAAAAAAAAAACACACAAAGAAAATTAAAAAACAATAAAAAAAATCTATATTTAAAGTTCTAAAAATATTTCCTAAACTCCCATTCGCAACGATTTGCTATATTATATGGGAAGGATCAAGGAAAAAAAATAAAGAGAAAAGGTAAGCAACTCTAGAAAGATTTAGGTACTCACCAAATAATTTGCATCTCTATGCTTGTCGATTTTCAGACGCTCCTCCAGCCGCAACTCCCGTAGGTTTCAAGATAGCCGCTATCGGTGAACGATTCACTGACTCTACGTTACGGCTATCCTTCCGACTGCGCCAGTTATATTTTTGGAGGCAGCCAGGGATGCAAAGAAATGCAATTTTAAATAAAGAATAATTTATTAACTAATATTTCTTACTACTAAAGTGACTATCGATCGATGTTAGATCAAGAGTAAAGATAAGAATCACGTAATGTCCTTATATACTGCATTTCTCATAGGAAGTTACAGTATTTGGCGAGTTGTATGTACGTGACTTGCTGCGCTTGCACTTGCGCTAGCGCCTGCGACCGGCACGTCGTCTCGTCGTCTGTACGTGAGATCCGATGCTTATGCGGTGGTTTGACCTTGCGTAACACGCGACGAAGGCAGCATTATCTAGCCGTCAAATAATAATAATATAACCAACATAAACAACTGTGAGTTCTGTGGAGTGGACACAATAATATATTACTATTTTCTTATTTTTTTTATAACGGCTTATAGTTGCGTTAACAGACGCAATCCATTCTGCCAGTGTCACGTTTTGTGAGGAAGACACAAATCTATTTTCTTTTAATAACATAAAAACTGTCACACTTAATGACATTTGAGGACTAACGGCCAAACCGATTAATCGATCTTCAATTTGCTTCACCTACTGGAGGTGGAAATGTGACAGAAACTTCATTGTAATTATGCAAAACATCAATCTCTGATATATATGTATGTATATACAATAGTTTTTATATTGTAATGCAATATAGGATCTCTTGTTCAGTACCAGGACGCCGGGTTACATATTTCGTGACACCTCCAAGTATTGTAATAACTAGTGCCTAGTGGGCACAAATCTAAAATCGTTTATGAATAAAAATTAAAATATATGACATTTTGTATGTGTACATATTATATCATAATATAAGGGGCCGTTCAAGTATTACGTAGGCAGGCTGAGGGGGCGGGGAGGTGCAATATATCCTTACTTTTGCTGACATAGGGAGCGGGGGGATGTTAAATAATAATAATAAAGATTTATATAAGAAAAAAATGCAATAATGCGATTTTCTTTTTTTTGCTTATACAGGGGAAGAGCCTCAAATCCTTAAAAAATTGCTTACATAATACTTAAACTGCCCCTAATGTGAGTATATATATAGATAATACTGTTCACAGGAATATTACTGATTGTATTACATACGTACACTGAATATAAAAGTAAAATAAAAAACAAAGTTGTAAATACATATATTATCCCTCTACAAATACTTACAATAACTTATATAAATAAGCTTCTTACAAAAGCATGTATGTGCTAACTCGATGCTCGTCGGTTTCTCACACCATAATCATATTACATTTATCACATTTAAGACGTATTACATCTTAATGCCTTCTAAACACCTTGTTGTAAGCACTTGGAAAATAAACCTGAGCGTGTCAATGTAATACTTGCATAAATATTATTTATGTACTAGAGATTTGCCCTTGCTTCGCTCGGGCTAGTCCCGAAGTGCGTTTTAATTTTTTTTGAGCTGAACCCTAATTCTTTATCTAAAATAAAAATAACCTAAGTTACTTCTTATAACATCAGCTATCTGCCAGTGAAAGTTACGTCAAAATCGGTCCAGCCGTTGCGGAGATTAGCCAAACAAACGGACAGACAAAAAATTTTAAACATTTTTCTTATTAGCACCGGATATACTTTCATATACATTTAGTATAAAGCTGTTATTTTGACATTACACACAGACACTTCAATTTTATTTATCTATATAGATGTAAAATAAATTAAGAAAAATATTTGCATTAAAAGAAGTATGTGTTACCATAATATGACAAAAAACCGAATGCCCTCCGTCTGATATACATAGAGATCTTTCGACTGATTAATATTATCACGGTAATATTACATACAGTATTCCATCTTCATACAAACGGTCGGAAATCGAGTTATACCTACGCGCGTCGCGTTCGGTATACACTCGGTAGACAACCGCGCGGGGCTGCCACATCGTATAATTGGATACGAAAATTGTATAAGGTGGTTATGTTATGTAACTTTTATAATTTTGATACAAAAATAAAAAATTTATTCCTCCCGTAACTTCGCTCATGTTAAACAAAATAGTATCGAGATAACCGTGTTTTAAAAATAAAAATTAATTAATTAAATTAAAAATTAAAGTATTTTTAATTAAACTTTTTATCCGAATGCGGATTCTTTATACTATTAAATTTAACAATAAACTTTTCGTACGTCTCACTCAAGACGCAAATATTTTTAAATCTCAAATTTATAAGGGTCACATACCACCCTTACAAATTTGAGATTTTTTAATTAAATTTACTAATAATAGTCTCTCCCGTGACCATGGATGCTGTAAAGCATTCGAAACGTCGGGAAACAAAAATACAAATAAATCCGCGACAAAATCCGAAAAGATAGTTTTATTTAAAATGTCAAATATTCGCGTAAATCTAAGAAAGTATTACTAATAATAGTTTTAAATAAAAAATATAATATTCGAAATCACAAAATTAGAACGTACCCAAGTAGATAGATGAAATTAAACTACTGTCCGCCGGGCACTCGGGCAGCCCTGTCGCATGGGTACGTGCCGCTCGGCTGTAGGTAATTATTTCAAGGACAGGCCCGAGTTGGAGTACTGTATGCATTAGATTTCCGTGATATTATTTAGCATTACCACCTCATTACTAAATACAAAAATTAAATAAAAAATGTCATTAATTCTTAAATACAGTATACGAATATATGTATGATACAGTTACTTTAGTGACTAGAGTGAATGCGAAAGTAAATTCTATTTCGGTATTGATGTTTGTATCCATGGAGGAGACTGTTTGTTAATATTTCAATCATTTTCACACCTTATCTAACTTCTTGTACTAGTAGATAAATAAATATAAATAGTAAAAGCAATTCAATATAAAATTAAGTATACAATAATATCAATATTTGTTGTATTAAACAGCGACCTATATTCGAGGATCTTCACAAGTACACACGGCGGGGATAGAACTCGCGACCTTTGACACAGTCTTGGTATAAAAGTTAAAACTAAAATAATAATTACATAATTTTAAAATGGAATGTATTCTTATGTATTTATAATGACTATTACAATTTATTTTTATCTTACGATTAATATATACGAGTTTATATATCACATGCAAATACAAAACAAATCTTTGGGTAATATATTCAGTGTCGTAGGAAAAGCTCTGTCTCCTGTAGTTTTACAAACTTAAATCATTGCTTCACATGGTATCTACAGAGTAAATCATACAAAATAAATTACAAACCTTGTGTTGATTTCATCGATCAAAAAAGTACAAGATACACAATCAGCGACAAAAAATATCCTCTCCGAATGAGCGCTCATTTGAATATTTAATTATTAAACCTTGGATTTGAAGTTCAATTTACGTTGTTGTATATTTATTTCAACTAAAATAATTGCCTAAACACAATTTGTGACAGTTTTATGAGAACTTTTGCATGGGATTATGTATCGAGTACTTTTTTGATCGATGGTTGATTTGGAAAAATAATATCTCAACTTGTTTGATACATTCGGCTCATCATCATGAAACAAAAGGCTCTGTGTAAAGTATACCTCGGGAGCGAGCCGGCGCGGGCCTCTCTCAGAACGTCAGGATGGGCTCCTCGCGGTGGTCCAGGATGTCTGAAAGTACAAGGAGTTGTATCAACACACACTATAAGACTAATTATACTTACTGTTTTGACTTCATTTTCCACACTGTTAAATTATTTAGGCACCTCGTGAAACGTAAAAGTGAAACAAATTGAAACAATTCACGGAAATTATCAGAATTAACGTTAAAGTAATCATCTCTTCAACTCTGCAGTAGTTTCATCCCCGGAAGGTACTAAATACCCGGGACGGGGAAAGAATAAAAACAGCTCAAATGGTGATAGGAGAAGCACTATCCTTAAACTAACTCAAACTAAGTTTCATTTTTAAAAAAAGTTTTTTTTCCGTTGAAATGTGAGAAATTACAGTAAACTGACATGTGCGTTGGATATAAAATGTATTATTTTGAATTGAAATGTAAGACTCTGTACACACGGCATTGTCCTGCACGTTTTTTTACAGTATACGTCTTTACGAATATATAGTGGCACATACATTGTACATAGAACCGTTCACACGTCTTTTGTACTGCATAAAATCGTACACCGTTTATACGTTTAACCGAATACTCACCGGACTTGTCAAGCAAATCGAATGGACTTTAACGTATTCGGTTTGCAGTGGCGCATAGTTTAGCTCTGTCTCAACGTGTGAAAACTGTGGATATTCGTTTTTACATGAATAAAACTACCGTGTGAACACCCGGCTGATTGTGCGTTTAAAATCGAATACAAAAAAATCGTACAGGACAATGCCGTGTGAACTCACCGTAACAACTTACGGTGAGTTTTTTATGGTGAGTGTATTGATATTTAAAACAGTAATTTCTTTTCCTAACTGACTCACTGACACTACACTATATACTCATATGATCACTGACAAATTGACTGTTCAAGTGCTCCTAGATACTTTATTGAATGAAGTTAAATTTCATTTTATTCATCAACTAACGATTCCCCATACGGACTTTCATCCCCATTTTCACTCCAATACAAAATCACTTCAATACAAAATCACTTCAATACAAAATATGTGTTATGTTCTTCTCAGGGTCTCAAACTACCTTTTTACCAAATTTCATATAAATCGGTCCAATACTTTTTAAGTTCATTCGTTACATACATACAAAAATACAAATCTTTCCTCTTTATAATAATAGTGCAGATGAATACTTACCTACTATATTAATACTTAGCCAAGTTTAATAAAATTAAGTTTAATTATTTTTAATAAGCTATTATAAAATGTATGTCGTTACATAATAATCTGAGGAAAATGACATATCAATGGATCTGTAACAATTTGATAGATTTAGTTATAATCAGTTAATAGATAACACGGTTTTATTAAGCCCACGATTATTGCAGGGAGACAGAAGTACTCGTATATATTTACTAGCGACTCACCCTCGCTTCGCTCGGGTTCGTCCCTAACGTGAGCCACCCTTATCACTTAGGGGTATGGAAAATAGATAGTAGCCGATTCTCAGACCTACTGAATACGCATATAAAATTTGGTAAAAATCGGTAAAGCCGTTTCGGAGGAGTAACTAACATTATAACATGGAAATTTTTATATTAGATTTTCATTGTTTTCGTATTACAATCAAAGGCTCTTACAGCATCGTGTGGGCCTCGGCCTCGGGGCACTCGCTCCTACAGCTCGTCTCGTTGGAGCCCGGTGACAGCTGACTTCTCAGTTGACAAACAATCGCAAAGAAACTCTTGAAAGTATTCGCCGTCTTTTTATATCCCTAACCTTACGTCATGCATTTTGATAGAAAAAATAGTTTGGTAGCTTTTTCTTTTTATTGTCTTAGTGGTCTAAGGGCTTGCGTGTATCGTGCTGTTGGATCGGTCCAAGTTATTCTAACTTGGTCCGAACCGGAACTTTTTCTATCAAGAAATTCTCAGTAACAGCATTCTCAACAGAGTTGGGAAGTTGGGGATGTTTCATCTCTATGCCTCGAAGAGCACGTAAAGCTATCGGTCCTACGCCTGATCTCTCACTGGTCGTGTCGAATTGTCGTCCTCCGGAATGTGAGAGTAATACAAATAGACGGCACATTGTGTTTGCACGCATACTTATGCACTTTTATATCTCTTGCACAATTGGTTAATCTCAATGAGATTAGTCGTCAAAGCAGTCAAGAGGATATTATAGGATGGGTATAATACACTATACAGTACATTTATGCTGACTTCGTCGGTATGTAGGTGTGGGTGTTACCTTTGGCGATGCTCCACCAGGGCAGCGTGACGTAGGTGAGGAAGGCGTTGAGCGGCGCCGACTGCGCGCGCCGCCCCTCCTTCCACAGGTGGAACGTCTGCGTGAAGCCGCGCATCGCCCACAGCGGGTTGTACGCGCCGTCGTCCAGCTCTGCGCACACACAGGCACACGGTCACACACATGTTGCGGGGACGGGGGCGGAGGCGTGGGGGGAGCGAGGGGCACACCCGAGAGCTTGCGGCGCGGCAGGTCGCACCAGTAGTAGATGTCTGTGCCGTCGGGCGTGGTGCGGCGCGGCGGCAGCGGCGCCTGCTGGAACAGTACCGCCGCCACGCCGCGCCGCCGCGGCAGTGTCACGTACGCGCGCGCGCCCGCGCTCCAGCGCTCCCCGCCTGCCCCACCCTGCGCGCGCGCCGCGCCCTGCACGCGCGCCGCCGGCAGCTCCTCCTCGCCACGCACGGTGACGGCGTCGCGCGGCGGCGCGTGAGCGCGCGCGGGCGCGGCGGCGGCGGGCGGGGAGGCCAGGCAGTCGCGCGCCAGCTCGCAGTCGGCGCTAGGCGGTAGCGGCGGCTGCGGGGCGCGCGCGCGCGGCAGCGGGCGCAGCGGCGGCGGCTGCGGCGCGCGGCGCACGGGGCGGCGGCGCGGCGACACGGTGTGAAGGCAGGCGGGGGAGAGGTCGGGCGGCGCGCGCCGGTACACGTCGCGCATGGAGGGAGCCCGCCGCCCGCGATCGCGCCCTACGGACACGCAGTACTACTCGTTAACAACACTAACGACTGATCCGACTCGACTATCTGAATATCTTTTATCTATGACATTATAGTCGTTGCAATCATGAATATAACAGAATACTTTTATTTTGTATGTCGGAATTGATTTCAAATATATTAACGATAGAAAACGAAAATTAAATACAAATCCATACTTTAGCGTTTTTTATTTCAATCTCACACAAAATCAACTCAATAGATAGAAATGAGCGTAAGGAACAGTAAAGAGACTACTAATGCCATATTTGTTCAATACAAAACGAAACAAAACTGTGTCCTAAGGGCGTGCGCAATCGTTCGGGGAGCGGGCTTCCTCCGGGCGACCTAGAAGGCTTACTACGTACAAACAAACGAATAACGTGCAAAGCAAAGCGAGAGACACGCTTTTAACTTAAATGAAACCAATACTAAATACCGTATTATTTTGATAGATGCAGTCACATAATCTGTCGAATCATACCAGCATATGTAAGAAAGCAGCCTGTCTACAGACTAAAAGCAGACAGTAAGTCTCTAAGCGCATGCGGGCGACATCGGTAAAGGCGTCACAACAACGAGAGACTGGAAGCTCTAACATTACGCATGACGCGAGTACACATATCTACTACTTACATCACAATAGCTGATTATGATATTTGATAATGTGATTGTAGGAACGAGTTTCATTATCTGTTAATATTAGAAACATTTTAATAGAAATGAAAAAAAAAACCCAGAACTACGTCATTTTGTCAAAGCGGTGTGAGTGGTAATGATAGTCGAACATGCACTTATTAAATATCACGTTACAAAACGAAACGTTTTTAAGCAGACAAAAACTGCACAATTTACATACACCGTAATTTTGCTAATTTCAAAGAGAACATTAGACCGCCCAGCAGTAGTTAACAATTGCCTAACAGTAAGGAAAAAAATTGTATTATTAGTATTGGGTTTTACAATATTCTATCAATCTACTAGGGTAAAGTGAAAAGTTCTCGGCTTGACACGGAGATGGCGTTTTAATCATCAAAAATTTATTTTTCCTGAATTCTCTGAATCTGCCGGAAAGATCATGGCTTACCTTTTTTTTTGGCTTGATTACCATGAAAAAGGTAGAACAATTACAGGCGAATATTACTCCAGCCCTCTTAAACAGCTGGATGCCAAAATTGAGACCTGGCTCGAAGATGAAAAAAAATACCTTTCACCAGGACAACGCACCGGCCTCACAAAGGTGTGTTGGCGATGGGAAAACTGTGAGATTTATATTTGGGGTAGGATTTGCTCGGCCATCCCCCCTATTCTCCTGATTTAGTATCCTCAGACTTCCATCTGTTCCCAAACTTAAAGAAATTTGTTTCTGGGAAGCGCTTCGCATCGAATCAAGAATTTGAGAGAATATTTCATAGCCTTCCAGACTCTCACTTCCGGGAAGGAATACTGATGTTGAAGAACCGCTGGACCAAGCGTGTTGAAGTCATGGGAGATTATGTAAAAAAATAAAATCATTCTTTAATTGAAGGCCTAGAACTTTTCACCTTACCCTAGTATACGAGTATGTTTCTTGTGCTACTTTAAAGTACACAAGAACTCAGAAAATTTGTATGACCCTTTGATGTTCGCTACATACGTCTCTAATGGCACGACATATTTTTGATGCAATGGTCTCTGCGGTCTTATTCTAGTGTATGCTCAACTAGAATAAGTATAAAATTGAATTGTATCTAGAGTGTGAGATTCAATATTGCTTGGGAAAGTCTATTTAAATATAGTATATTTTATACAGGATAATTAACGGCGTATCATTAAAAAAAATAGTAAAATGATTGATGATTTTTACAAATACGATTAAATATGTGATTTCTATTACTAATTTAATCTATTTAATTATTATATATTCAGTATGAACTACGAGCGACAATGAACAAGCAAGCATAACCATCGACTACAATGCTACGTTTCAACATAACAATTATAATGGTAAAAATAATGGCAATAATGAATAATAAGTAAAGAAAAAAGAAATTGTGCGTGTAGTCGTAGCGAGTGATGAGTGAATCTACGTGTAAGCACCCGGCCGATCGTACGTTTAAAATTGAATACTAAAAAAGTGTGCGACCGACCGTCGCGCAGGTCGCCGGCCTCCACCTCGGCCACGCCGGCGCCGAGCGCGTCCAGCCCCGCGTCCTCGGAGCGGGAGCGGTCGCCGCGCTCGCCGCGCGCGCGCCAGCCGCCGCGCACGAACGTCGCGATGTTGGCGCTCGGGTCGCTCAGCCGCCGCTGGAAACGGACGGCCGACTGTTACTCCGCTGTCGTCTTTATATTATACCACCCTATGTTATACTCTATATGTATCCGTTATAACCTATCCGTGTACTCATTCAAATCCATCCACCCACACAGACACACGAACACACAAATGAATTAAATTTTACATTTACAATGGTAGTAGTCCAGCTTTGTCGAGATAAAATGTGACACACAAACGTTCCTCGGCTGTTACATTTGGACTAATAAACCTCAAATTACTCAAAACAACTCGCTCATTGCCTATATTACGTTGAACTTTGTCAGAAACTTTTCAGCACATCTAAACAATACGCCGAACTTTCAAAGCGATCGGTTATCCGATCCACTTATGTAGACAAGAAAATTGTATTCATTACAAAAAACAGACAAACTCTTTATTATATTAATAAACATATATATATTGCATTATTATGTTTATTAATATAATAAAAAGATAAAATCATACATAATCTGTTATCTATATCTAATATAATATCTAATAGTTTCAATAAAATATATATTCAATAAAACATGACTACTGACTACTTCTTATACCAGGAAGTAAAACCAGGCAAATCAGATGGAGAGTCAATATTTTGAGATAATTTTTACAGTACGTAGAAACTACCACAATGTAACACACCCATGATGTCGGAAATGTTGCCAGTGTAGGATAAAGAAAAAGATTTCACATTCGAAAACAACTTTCTTTTTCAATTCTCATATAAATACAAAGTAAAGGTAAATAAGATATGGACATAGATTGCGTGTGTCAATTTATCAACGTATTAAATTCAACAATTTCCAAATCTGACATGTATACACATTCAGATAAAATAGTGTTTATAAAAACAAAGTACCAAAAGTAATATTTTTATCAACACAATGCCCTATTAAAAGCAACTCTGATAACATATTTCTCTAACGTTCGATAGATAATCGAGCACTATCTCTACTGATAGCCAAATTAGTAGAAGTATCATGTTTAATCGTCTGTTTGTTTGTTCTTCATCAATTAATTTACTAGATAAAAAGTGAATCTAGATAAATTGAGTAATCGTAACTCCTAAAGCGCTCCAGATGGCGCTGCTCCGTGCTCGTATCATATGACGACTATTTGTTTATATTCACTAACAGGGTTATACTTTACGACTACTTCGACCGAAATTGTTTCTTGCATACATTTGGTACAGTATATTATTAATTGATTATCAAGTAAACTACGGAATTGTTTCTGATATTTATCAAAATCCACTAAACGTTTTTTACTTTTTATAACGAATGCCTTATACTTATAGTTTAATGATAACGCGAAACCTATTAATACGTTATTACAGTTATGTATTTACTGTTTACATATTTATCAGTTTTATTTTTTATATCTAATAATGCTTTTTTTACTTAAAAACGAACACATAAGTGATAAGTAGTGTATAGTCGTATGCTACCACAGTATGCTAATCCATACAGTCTTCTAACGAATGTATACACATGGCTAATTGCGGGGCGTGCGAGGATGTGGGTGAGACGCTCCCGACCGGCAATATGCATTTTTACATGAAAATTGGGAAACAGCTTTAAGATCGTGGAGCATAATTTTAACTTTACCATGAATAACGATATTATTGACAATCTTTACATTTGGCGGCATTTCCGTTGCACTTTACACTGTGGTTATACATAATTGGTACTCGTACGTATGTTAAGTGCAGAGTCGCGTGCGGATGATTGCCGCGACGTCACGGCTCGTCACGTACGCGCAGTGTCTCGCGTGCTCGCGGACGCGGGGCCCCAGCATTGATTCAATTTTTTGTCTATGCCATTTATATTGACGTAACAAACGAGCCCATTAATATATAGTATGAATGTAATAGTTAAAAATAAACTATATTAGGACAAATGTCGCGTTTTGTTTTATTCGCCGTAAAATGAAACGCTCATTTGCTTATGACCAATTCGTACACACACTATAATTCATATGTACATACACGTCTCATATTTTAACTTTAGTGGCTAGCGTACAGCTGCACTATAATATCTCCCGAGCAGATGAGAAGTCTCAGAAAGATAGGCAATTGTGCTTGTGCCGAATTCTTAAACTCGCACAATAAATCCTTATGTATATATTCATTATTACACTCGAAAATATAGATTTTATGATATAGAAATTACATAAAGTACGGTAGAAATGAATTTATCTCTAAAGAAGATTTCTTCCAGTCAACTCACCCCCTAGTAGCGCATCAATTTAGAGGAAAACGTATGTATCATATAATTAAATTACATACACCGCTCTCTAGCTCCGTCTCTCACCTGGTGCCTATACAAGAAGAGTTCGTCGGGGTCGTCCTCCCAGTCGCTGTCCCACAGCTCGGCGGCGGCCAGGCCGGGCTCCGAACTGGGCGTGTGCACGCCCGACGTGCGCGGCCGAGACACCGCCACCTGGAAATTGAATTGTACGAGATTATATAACCATCGGATAAAGTTTGAATATAATTATCCACTTAGCATCAATGACTCTCAGTTCCTCATCAATGGCAGTTATAAAAATTATAAATTCGAAAAAGTTTCTTTTTTTACTATTTAACGCCTTAAATATTTAACTAACGTAAGTAGGTTTAATTTTGTAGAAATTATAAATAAATAAGCCGGGTAGGTGCCTATCATTATCTCATGTCATAATCTGTGTACTAAATTTTTATCTAAATCCGGTCCATAACGGCGTGAAGAATAAACTTACACATGCACAGTGCACACATATACAAACTTTGGCATTTACAATTGTGGTTACCAAATATACAAGATACATTAAAACTTACGTAGAAACAAATATCAATATACAAAGGTCGATAGCTACCTCCGCGTGTCCCTTCCCGCCGGGCCCCTTCATGCGCACGAACTCGCAGCGCGCCGCCGCGCCCGCGCCGCGCCCCAGCAGCCCGAACGACATGCGCTGCGCCACCTTCGTCGACAGCGACGACTGCTGCTCCAACATTAAAGATAATACATTAATTAAATACATAATAACTAAATTTAACATATATACATACTATACATAATATATATACATAATACTGTATATTCACCCCAATTTTTGCCCGTAATAATTTATTACGGCTACCATAATCATCTCGGAAAAAAACTGTAATAATCTTATAATAACAATAAGCTTATAAAGACTTTCTTTAATGTCCCACTGCCTGGGTACGGGCCTCGTCACAATATAAGGACGCGATTAGTCCAACCACGCTGGGAGTAATGTACATACATACATACATAGATTGGCGAACTCCCTTGTGTTTCGAGAACTAGTAAGTTCCCTCACGAATTTTTCCTTCGCCGCATAAGCAAGTGATAATCACGTTGAAAATAATTCTCACATAAATATCACGTAGGTGGGAGATCCGGCTTTGAACTCGCTCCACTAGCCATGGGCTACCGTCGCAATACAATTCAATTTTATTTTTATTGGCTTTTAAACGTACCATTGGTAGAAAATATATTAAAACAATTTTTAAACGTAGTTAAAAATCTAGAAAACTGGGCCTCTGTTTACAAATCTATAATTTTTTTTTTTGTTTTTCAAAGAGGTTTTTTTACATAGATGCTGCAATTAAAATTAAGCGTTGTTATAATAGATACATATCCTAATAAGGGCGTTAAATAGAACAATCCAATCTTAGCAGAAATATTAGGTATGATATATTTTTTTAAATATTAGTTACGTTCACATCTTTCTATAAAGAATATGTTGCAACAATAATATTGCAGCAAACAAAAATCCATCAAATATCACGATTATACTAAGATAAAAAAATAAGAGAAATACATAACAACTACTATAATGGTGCTAACTGCTAATTGATGATAACCATTAAACCATCATAGAGTAAACAAATCGCGAGCCCGATGCCGGCACAACTCCTCAAGTTTTATTTATATATTAAAACACATTCTAGAATGTTTGACTCGCAAATAGGACTCGATTAAAATCGAGGTAAACAAAAATACAAATTTTGAATTTTGGCTTTGGCCGAACGGTCATCCATGATAACATATTTTATATCGTTACTTTAAAGCAAATGTATTATCGACAATAATCACTTAGTTTTTTAAAAACGGGTTTTTTTAAATACCTAAATTTGACCTCTATATGTACATACCGTACATAAACTTAGTCTCATTAATTGCCCATTTTTTGTTCCAAAAATAACGTAGATACAATGATTGTGTTTTAAATAGCGACAAACAATGATAGCGTGGCGACTGGCGACTGGCGGTAACTGATAGTAAACAATCGTGAGTACGCGCGCCACCTGTCGCGATCGCCCCGACATCTGCAACCGCCAGTTGCGACTTGACCATAGTTTTGATGTATGAGCATATACACATGAATATACAGAAGAATTAGTCATTAATTTATATATACACTTTATGTATACATTTTATTATGTACAAATGTAAACAAAACATTCAGCTGCCTTAGTCATCGATTGATATCGCATAGGTGATACATCATTATTAAAAACATATCTTAATCTTAAGTAACACAATCTTGATCTAATATTGTCTACTACTATCTCTATACACATCTACTACTATTACATATATCTACTACTATTCTCTATCTATTATTCTATTATTACATTTCTATCTATCTATATCGTATAGGTAGTGCTGTTATCTATATATTTATAGACTAGTGATGGATCTTGCGTCGCATAAAAATAGCTGAAGGGATTTCAATAGGATTTTATACAGATAAGTAATATGTCTCAGCTTTCAACTTAATTCTTTTGTTTCATGGCTTCTAGGAGTGTTGTTCCATTCCATTCGGGGCTCGCTCGCTTCGTCTATGTCGCGTAGAATGAAGAAGACACGTATACATAGAATGACCGGTAAAAATAAAGAAAAAACACTGGATCAGTTTACATGTAGAAATACTCAATTATAACATGTCATATTGTTATCGATCCGTGAAGAAAGTATAGAAACGTCACAGACGGGCCAAGCCGCGAACAATCGCTAGTACAAATAAAGAAAGTGAATAAGTAGGTGCATAACGATAAGGCTGGTGTACATGGTGACGCACGCGCCGCGCCGGAAGTTACGGTATACTAACTTCATATAAACTGATATTGAAACACTTTGAAGTTGTTAACAACATTGTATGTAATTAATTATGTTAAATATTTCACACTTTCTTACGAATTTATATTTACAAAATGTATTTTTATGTTCGTATAACAAACAATCAGGGCATCCTAGCTCAAGGAAGGGTGTAAGTTCAGCACCAGTCAAAGACATTAATTTCGGCTGACGACCGCGACTAGCGCCTTTCCACAAGGGGTAATGAAGCTTTCAAAGAACTTACTTGTCCCAGATACCTGCGATTTCGGGTCAATCATTTCAAAGAAATCTCTTTTGTATTGTTACACTTATCGTAGGCTTAAAAAAGGGTAAAGTATGTTATTAAATCCTATTTTCGAAAATACTAAAAATTAGGAATACATTTATGTAATAGATATTGTGTATACCTACATATTTATTTTTAAAGAATATAACAATAAGCTATAGTCAAATAAATAAATGTTAATTCAAGGCTTAAAATAATACAAGAATTTTATTGTGCCTGTTAACACAGTTCTAAGCCATAAAGAAAAAAAATACAATCATTTTTCTTCTAATAGATAATGTTTCATGCGAGAAGTGGGTACTCGAGCGTTATCACTCAATGTCATATACATATATTGCTAAATTGTATAATTATCATAATCATGATTATTATTAAGTTACATAATTACTTGATAACTGCTATAAAAACTAACTTTATTGTAGATCGTTCCAATTGTGTAAGAGGATGAGATGTATACAGTTTGAAATTTTAACGTTTGCGTATTTATCAATATACACAGCGCGCATTCAAAACAAAATTGAGTATTCATATTAAACAAAAAGACATAGCATATGAAAGTATAATAAATTCGTTATGTCCTGACGATATAGGATACAGAGTCGATTATAGGCACGTGGTAACTCAGTCGAGCACATAATATGGCTCCATTATTTCGCGGCGTCGTGAAGTCGCGACGAATACTTGTTGATATCGCGCCCTCTAGCGCCCACCGGTCGCCCCCACCGCCGCCCCGCGAGGCCGGCAGCGTGCCCGACCGCGATCCCGAAACATCTCTACCAATCAATATATCAACCCTCTGACATCTTTTATGAAATTACCCTGTTCCGTATGTTCGACAGATCAACTACATCAAAATTATTACATGCCTATAAAGGTGCAAAAGTTAAACAGTACCCACCTATATCTGACTCTTTAAAACTTTGTAAACAACAATTTATATCATCATTGAGAGCATATTATATGCTTTAGAATGTTTAGCTATACAGCCTTAATCTTAATAAAAGTAGTAGTTAGTAGAGAAATATCAACGTTTTTAAATGTATGACACGCGAGATGGACAAAGGCCCATGGACACAGATATAAAGTGCTGTAAAGACAAAAACCGAGGTCGAATCATATATGATTATAAAATCAACACTAAAAAAATTAAGCATGTACGAGAATGATTCAAGCAAGAATGTTATTTATAAAGTCAATAACAGAGAATGGTCGCTACGTGACGGGAGGCGTAATGCAATGAGAGCAGGGATGCCAGCAGACAGCTTCAGCGCACGCCCCACTTGGCGCGGCCTTGGCCGAGCCTCATTAGAATAGTATTACTTTATAACTTTAATCATTTCACTGATGGACTCGCAATTTTATTTTAACTAAATATTTTTAATATTCAACAATTTCTTTTCCGGAAGCTTTTTATTAGGCACCTCACTTCTTCTTCGGGATTAAATTTTAGAAAAAACTCTTTCTAGTATTTTAGTTACCTATGTCACTTTATAAATGATCTCAAATTCTCAGCTGTTAAGACCCAGTTCTATTTGCAGTCCAGACAATGATAAATTAGTTAATTGTGAACAAGTCTATTTTATATACGTGAATGAGTGAAGATTAATTTCTATTAGTAAATGTACTTCATAAAATTTTCATTTACTGAAAGACACACTAATTTTTGAAAATTAATCCCTAAGTTAAATAGGGAATGAAGGTTTTATGGATTTTAATCATTTTTTAATGTTAAAAGTTAAAACTATGGTTATCGATGTTTAAGTTTATTTTAATGTTGCCAATGAAACACTCCCTGTTTATATTATGATAAACAACGTTTCATGTTTTCCTCCTTTTGTAACAAGATACGTATATTCTTAATATTATTTTATTTTCTTCTTTTCACAGTGACCGCTTTAAAAATGAAATTGTTTTGAATCCTAACTATATTAATTGCGTACATCAAAATACAAAAACAAACATAGCAAATAATAAACACACTCCGCTCTGAAATGACCCGCTCAGTTTCGTCACAGGCCATAAGCCCTAACGGCCCCGATGAAGCCGTAACGTGGGGGCGTATGACGTCACAGACGAACTCTACCTCACAGCGACAAAAATCAACCCCATTTCTTGTAATTTACTTGTAATGTAATGTCTGAGTCCACCTCGTTGTATGCCAGTTCATCACCTGGCCGTGCGAGTCCCACACGAGTGATAACTCATAAAGCGTGGGTTTGTTTAGTCACTTTATTTAATTATATGACACTATGGTCTTGTTTTATAAAAGCAGAGTAAAACTTAAGTCGTTTGCCCTCCCCCGCAACACGTTGACAATTACTAACCTGTCCAATGAACGTAGAATATTTCTATTGTAAATGTAAATCATCCAAACCTGAAATTAATTTCAATGTTCAACAGTTTCCTGCCCATGTACTCATATGTTAGCAAACTGGCAAGTTGTTATTACTATACTCGTAGTATATTTACGATTTGAAATTTACGTACATACATAATAAAATCTAATTTATTCCTCGTGAAACAGTTGACCTACACCGCCTTGGTTTTCTTATGCGTCGCGTCGCTTAATATCGCCCTACTTTCAAGATATTGAATCTCGTTTTATCCCAGCAATCCTATACAATGGTCACGGTTTTAATTCCCGCTCCATCGAAACGGCGCGCGGGCGAGTGACGTCACTTCTACCGATTATCGAGATAATTACCCGCCCCTATGCTGATATACACCACCATGCATATAGCATAGTATTAAATTGAGCTTATTATGTCATTTGACCTTTGGTAGCTTGAAAATATTGTTATTTATTAAAATAAATCTGAGAGAACGTCGAATGAACCATAAATAAAAATACCAAATAACGTACATTCTGTAATTTAAATACATATGTATGTTGATACGCAAAAATCTATAACCTTTGTTCTCTAAAGATTACGTAAATAACTAAATACCTATGTGCTTAGTTTATTGTAACACAATTTCCGCGACAATAAATTAATATCTTTATTAATTATTCATAGTAGGCGTTCAACGTAAAACCGAACACGGAACAGTCGAGAACATACGCAGCAGCAGCGGGCAGCAGCGCGCGGAACGATCGAACCATTACACAATAGTAGCAATTTTCACGCTGATTTTTACGAGCGCTGATTAATGTTTGACCTTCGCTAATGTAAATCAGAAACAGTACAGCCAATTTAGTTAAAGATACTATTCGCAATTCATTGTTTACTCGTACTTAAAGCGACTACAGTAAATAGAATTGGCCTAAGAGTAACCAAGTCATAAACTATAAATATGTTAGAAATTTTAGGCTTTATTTCGACTCTAGAAAAATAATATAAGAACCATGAAACTAATGCGATGCACACAAAAAGGTGTTAGCGTTATTTGTTTAATTTGGTAGCTATCGTCTAGGGAGCAAGGTCAGGACTAATGAGCAGTTCTGTGCTAATTACTTCCTTATACTAAGGCTGTACTACAAACGACTCACGTAATCATAAAACATTACTTATATAAAGCACGTTTACATTACAAATTACTATACTATTATATTTTGTAATTTAACGAAAATAGGGAAAATCCAGTAAAAACACGTCGAATTCTGTTATTGAACACTGAGTTCATAACAGTTACTATAGCAGTAGTTATTGTAATAAGAAATTATATATGTATCTACCTATGATACTACGGGAAACCTCTTCGACCTAATTAATCCTAATATTTAGTGGCAAGAGGAGTGATGACAAAAATGTTTTTTTTTTAATAATATGTGCCCAGATGTTTCATTCACCTTGTATAGTAAAAAAACTAGCATTCTATTTTTGACAGCACCGACAATAAAATTCTAATTTGTTCGTTCCAATGATCAATTTCCATTAATGCATCAAGTCAGCAGTCACAGTCATTTATTATGAATGACAGCAAAATTATGTTTCGACTCACAATAGGGACGCCACTACAACTGACACATATACAGCTATACGTAAATTAAGGAGAGTTTACAGTAAATAGCTTCCAAAATACTTGGCACGCTAGTTGGTCTAATATTCAATCTCAATAGGTCTCTAAGATAAGTCTATGTTTAATTTTATGGTTACATTAAACTTTTGAAATCACACATCTTTTGCAGTGCTAAAAAAAATGCTAAAACTAAATATAAGAAATATAGAATTACCTGTACAAGAAAGCTAAAGATTATAGTTTTGGGCTCAGGTGTACATACATACATAATTGATAAATCTTATATTTCTTAGCCGTTTAGTCTGCAAACGCTGATAAGGGAAGTGGTAACACATTTAGTGAGTAACATTGCTCTTCAGGGACTGATTCACAAATAGTTACTTCAGTAATAATATAATAAATTATTTTATCTGTTTGTAATAAATTGATATTTCAGATGGAAAAGTCATTAAAACAAGAGAGTACGCCATATGTTATTTAAGAACAAATAATATAATAATTATAAAAATAATATGCTGGGAAATTAACACATAGCACCATCTAGTTCCATGGTAAGTTACGAGGCCTGTGTTATGAATAGCAGATAGTTTATACCCTACACATATATAACTTTAAATACATACATATTATAAATATAATAATAAATATCATCACGCAAATGAATGCCCCAGCGGGACTCGAACCCGCGACCGTTGAACCAGCAAGTTGGCTCACTACAAACTGAGCGTGTCGTCAATACTAAAGAATAATTGTAAAGCCACTTACCCTCGCGTCATAGACCCTGGTGAGCGCGTCGTAGCGGATGGAGCCGAGGAAGATGACGGCCTGCGCGGCGCCGCCGCGGCCGCGCGCCACCAGCTCCACGCACACCATCTCCCCGTCGCGCACCACAATGTCGCAGAACACCTGACCGAAACACCATCTTTAGACTCACTGCTCACACTTCTGTATACTCTCTTCTGTATGCACCCCTCGCAGTTATAACATTTCGACTTAATACAAAAATAGATTATATTATGTTATAGCCATATATGTTTTCTCTTTCTATTGGTGAAGAGCGTATGACCCTATGAAAATCCATACAGTATTTTCTAAGATTAGCCCGAACAAACACAAACCTAGTTCAATTTATAATATGTAGACTATTGTCAGCGGCAGCGCCCGCTTGGGATTTTTGAAATTTCGTTTGCTAATCTGTTATTGCGCGTATATCGCGGCGGTGAAAAGGTTGCACTTCGGTTAATCCTTAACACATTTATTGCAAATTACAATTATTACAATATACACGAATGTTTCCAAAAAGTATGTATACGAATTGTTAGTATATTTCAATATTTTGTGAATTAGCAAAACGTTTTATTTATACAATTACCTTACCAAACATTTAAAAATGGTAGCTGAACTAGACAGTTTAACGTAAGTTAGAACTAGTAAACGATTTGTAAATAATTAATTGGATTATTCCTTTTCAATTGGATCATAGGTCGATCACCTACATTTGCTCTTCAGCACGTGTACCTTGTACCTACCTACACATATCACATTGTTTAACTAACGTAAAAATGGCGTCACTCATTTTATAAATAATACTTAATCTGTATAATGTTTAAAGTATAATATTATATATTTCATATAAAATTCGTGTTATGTGTTTTATCTTATAGTAGTTAAATATTCATATAAGGTTTATGCTAGGCATTGTTTTAAACAAATATTATATTTCCTGTTAACCTCAAAACTAAATTATAAAGAATCCAAAAATGTTCAACAAAAAATAGAAAGATAGTTAAAGAGGCAGGCAGTGTATCGATGTCGTTATCGAAAATACGCTCAATCTTGAACTGCGACTACGACAGGCCGTTATCAGCCGTTCTGCAGCTTGCATCTGTCTGTGGCTTGCTCAGAAACAATGCGAGATAAAGCTACTATAGAAATTCATTTGTCAATATACAAACAACGAACAAAATGCGTTTTAATCTTATCTCTATCTGTAACTTTGCTCCACTGACAAATAAATTCAATCTCTATTTAAAAAATGGACACTGAGAATCTCAGACATCAATACAATACTCAGACTGTAATAGGCGTTAGTGTGTTTATTAAAATGATATAGAAACGATAACAGCTCTTATCATGGAGTATTTATACCATGAAGGTCAATATGTTGTACTTTTTAATATATTTGAATGTACATATATAGATACATCGAATATAGCGTTAGTAACTTGCTACGAGTATATTGCACCTTTGTAAGCGTAAGCTTTTATAAAACAAGTAAAAATCATTGGAAGAGATGTTCTCGATCATTTATCCTAAAATGATAAAATGTTTTATTGGTAATTAATTATAGAACACTGTTTAAAATGGCGTCACCCTGAGTCATGCTGCGCTATCAACGTATGAAACGTACATTGGATCTGTGGCAATCATTACTCAATATGTTCCTGGAAGTACCTACTGGGTATTCTCCACCGCCCTCTGTCCATTCTTCAGAGTCATCTTTTTAAAAATAAACCCTTAATCAATTGAATGATCAAAATGAATTTTTAAGTTATAAATTATAATATGTAATCGATATTTGCGGAATATAAAACAAAAAAAAACATTCAATTAAAAAGAACATCGCTATATAGAATAACACACCAGGGGAGAATATTTCTTACTTTTGGATTACTATTTTCGCCGAATAAGCCCACAGAACAAATATATCGAACAACAAAGTACATCCACAGTATCATTTAGAGATGTTCATAAAAAAACATAATATTCGTGAGATTGAGATGAAACGGCAGCTGACAGCCGTGACACAGATGACTTGTGTTCCGACTCGAACAAAGACACTATTGTGTCGATTCTACTTAGATTTCAGATAGTTTTATATCACATATTTGCTGGGAAACATTTTAACTTTAGACAATGTGAAACAACAAATCTTAATCAATTTGCAGGAAATTTAAAACACATTACACAACAAACACAAAACGTTCAAATATATTGACGTTAGATAAGGTACCACCCATCTGTTTGTTTCAACATTACTATTAGTTTTTCTCACTTCTTAAGCGACTGAGATGTAGTGTATTATAGATCCTAGGTAGTCCGGACAAATAAGTATGTATTTAGTCATTATAAGCTTTGATTTTCAATAAGAGACTTCTACATCATAACATCACTAACATAACCGCCTCTTCGTCAGGAACTAGGTGACTAGAGCCTACTTCTAGACGGTATATGAATGTCTAAAAAAATATTCTGATACTTTTGACAAAAATTCCATTTATTAATGAATCACAAGGCATAATGAACAAGAACACGTAACCTTGCAGCGCTCGGCGAGAATAAGCATTTGTTGGTATTGGTAAAGCGACCCAAAGCATCGCGCCACCTCATTAACATACCTCGCCAATACTCATTGCTAGAATTTCCATTTCTAAGTACAAATATTCTTGTCTACCTCGAAATACTGATTATCATCAAAACATATAATAAAACTTTAACAGGGTCAAAGTTGTAAGTATGTGAATTAAATATTTCTTAGAAAAATATGTTCGGGATATATGTATAGCGCATTATACAGCTTTTTGTGTGAAACATATTAGTGTACCTGCATTATTCAGTTAAGTTCTATTTTCTATTATCTTATCTAGTTGCGGAAATAAAAGAAACGAGAACACAACATACTGCAGTCGTATAAAATATATAATATTCTTTATTGCACAAGTAATCATAAAATTTTAAATAACAAAATTTATTAAATTAAATATATTATGTATACATATATAGTTTAAAAATAAAGTAATATCAATACGTTAATCGATCAAAATCATTGAAGTGAATGATTGAATGAATGATTTTGTGAAAAAGGACTTATTTAGTAAGTCATCAATCAAAATATGGCGCCTGTAATATTTTATTTATAAAAAATACAGATATTTAAATATCTATATCATCCATAACATTTGATCACTGGAATGCAATGATCGCGTGTAGTTAGCAAGTGCTAAATACGGAAATGTTTTCTCATTAGCGCACATCCGTGTACGTGAGTAATGAGAGCGGCTGGAACCACTCCAAACAATATCCTAGCGGAATTGGGACGCCATCGTTTTACTGTAACTACTGAGGCGCCGCCAACCGACGACTATGTATTATTTTAAAAATAAAAACATAGTATTGATTTTATATTAGCTTAAAGACGATTAGACTAATTAAAAGGTTAAACCGAATGGCGAGTGTGTCCGCGTAACCTAAACAACGACATATGAAAATGATAGATTTACTATTATATATTTTTAGATACCTTATAATTTCTCTGCGTCATTGATCATCGTGTTCAAAGAAAGTTTAAATGAATCACATAGTAAAATTCGTAGAGACAGTGGGCAGACTGAATACAAAATAAATAAAAGAGATTACGCAATGCATTTGCCTTGCAGAGGTCAGCCTGGCCACAGGCCAGTCGCCACACTCGACGCAACGCAACGATGAAAATATTATCGTCGACAACTCGATGTTCTATTTATAAATTATCTTTTGTCACATCAGCGGTCGAAACATCATCAAATTAAAGTACAGATTCGAAAAAACTTTGACACTCCATACGAAACTTTCATATTTATATGTGAATACAGTATGTATCTACTTTCTGCTACGTAAGAACATAAAAAGTAAGTTCAAAAACTAAAACCCGACTTAACTGAAATATCGCACTCTAAAAAATATAAAACAAAAAATCTAAATATTCTCATCTGAAATTGTTACAAACATACACGTATTGTAATTTATTTGATACATTTTCATAATGATGTTCAGAGGATAGCCGCGGACGTATGCCACTTTGCCCTAAAACTTGTGATCACTGTTAGAATGATAGGTGGCAACGGTGGAAAAACCGCCGTCGTTTTGAATAGATAAAAACAAGTGATAGGTACAGATAAAAGGTTGTTGTAATGCATCTCCAAAGGTTTAGCCATGTACGAATACATTTTTTTGACAAAACACCGTATAGTACGGCTATTTTGTATAAAACATTTACATATTGTTTTATACTAGCAGAACCCGCGGCTTCGCTCGCGCTAAAACTACAAAAAACACTAAAAAAGTAGTTTTTATACAAACGTTCATCCCTTATTTTACCCTCTTATGGGATGAATTTCGATAAATGCTAAAACACGTATTTATTTAATTGTATTGAAGAGCATTAATACCAAATTTCAAGTAATTCGGATCATAAATAATTTTTGGGTTGTATTATAACATGTTTTCCCGTGGGAATGAGATTATCAGCTCCAGCGCTAAATGTATCCTATGTCACTCTTCAGCCCTCCAACTATCTCCACACAAAAAATCACGCTAATCCGTCACTCCGTTTTGACGTGAAATAAAGACACACAAACAAACACACTTTCACATTTATAATAATATTAGTATGGATTTATAAACCTTCCTGGTTTATCGTTCTTTCTATTACTAAAACAAATCCGTGTATCAAATCCGTTGTGAGGCTCTAAGCCACAAGGCAAAGTCAGCGGTGAAACAGAGGGAAGCAGACAGCGACTTTGTTTTATACTAATGTAATACTAGCCCAGTCATTTGGTAGTTTTACCTGGAAAGTTTTCCGGGAGTGATTTTATATATTCCGATGTGCTCTTTCCGAATTTCAATTTTGTCACCTCGTATCTTTGCCGCTCGCGCCGCTATATTAAAAAATGGCGCCTTATGGCAGTTTTTGACAATATATCCATTCCGACTAATTTCCGGTAAAAACATTTCATTCAAATTGAAATTATATAATTTTAAACTGAAAATTTATAATTTAATCATAGAAATTTTTGTATGAACCATAACTCGGCCCAATCAGTTAATGTGTTTTCCCGTGGAAATAAGACGTTTTCCTGTAATAAGTT